AGCTAGTGATTGGATTTAAATATGCACTCTACTAATATCAGGATATTCAGAACTATGTTGCAAAGATATGTAATCTCTTTTGATATATGAGATATCTCTTTTGTGGTAAATATCGTTATGTTCTATATTAGCATGTTATTTAATCCTTGAATAATGTCATTATTCAAAATTGTCCATAGTCAGTAACTGTTGTGGGAGCAACTATGAGTTAAGACTAACATATGGTTTGACCTTACTTGCATGAGGATACATAGGATAGTCTTATGCATGAGAAAAACTATTTATTTTGGCAATTCCATCTCTCTAAAACCGTAGGTTTTTCTACACAAAATACTTTCTCTCTTTTGAACTGGTTTTTGGTGTGTAAAGCCTTTTTGAGTTATCTCCTTTAGTGCTTACTTGTATATGTGCTTAAAGGCTTAAGATACTCAAGAATATAAGAAGGAACTAGCATTCAAAGTGCCTTACTCTTGGTGCTGGATACTTCTAGAGAAGATCATACTCTTTGATCTTGCCATGTACTTCAACATCCCAAACCTGAGTGGGTTCAAAGGCTCCAAAGGTTGTCATTCTAAAACATCTTATGGTTGTGTTTATATCATTCTAACCTATGTAAAAGGATACATCTAAAATAAACTAGTTATTCTTAAAGCTTTCGTTGCCGTTTTTTTGTGAAAAAACACTCTATTTTATGTATCAAAACCCATTAGATATGTAATCCGTATCTAGAAAATTATGATTATATTTATTATTATTCTTATTTTTGTATTATCTATTATTTGTTATTACTATTTAGATTATAAATATATTATGTTATTTATATTATTATTAATTATTATTATTAGTAATTATATTATTATTTTTATTATTAATATTATAACTAGTGTTTTGTATACGTGTATGAGTTTATGTATGAGTATGTGTATGTATATGTATGTTTATGTTCATTTGCATGTATATGTATGTATGTATGTGTACTTATATGTGTATATTTACAGGTGTTTGATTAGTATCGTCTACACGCTTATATTGTAACATCCTGTTCCGGATCATCCGTGATTTAAGGTTCGTGGGCTGCAACCCGAGCATGAGGAAGCCTCGGGGCAGCGACAAGTTGCTAGAAGCGTAGGGCTTCTCGTCGCCTTTCCGTGGATATGAGGTTCATGGGAAACGAAATTATAACGAGGAAGCTATGACAGTTTGAAGTCTTGGCGAGATAAGCCCCTTAATTGAGAAAAGTGGAAGCTGAGTACGCTGGGCGTACATGTGTCTACGCTTAGCGTACTCATGAGCGTGAAAATGAAGCGAAGCCACCTAGTACGCTGGGCGTACTAGGCACAGAGTGAAAACCCTAAATGAGGGGGTGTCCCTATATAAAGAATAAGATGGCTTCATTCTTGGCCACCATTCCTAGATCTCAACTCTCTCAAAACCCTAATTCCCGTTCTTTGAGCTTGAGTGACCATTGTGAGCTTATAAGTGTTCTTGTAGGATTTTTGTAGTGAAGAAGGAGAATGGAAGAGAATAGAGTTGGATCCAGGCTTTGGATCTGAGCTTTTATGTGGTTGGAGCATCATTTGAAGGTATAAAGCTCAAAGCATTCCCATCCTTTTGATTTGTGCATGATATGGTCCATTTTAGGATTTTTGGTCCCAAAGCTTGAAGTTTTATGAGTTGTTGCACTCCAGAGCCTAATATCTGTCCTTTTAAGTGTTTCTAGTGGAGAGGGTCCATAAAAATGAGGTCTTGGACGTGAGAATCAACCCATGCATGAGATATGTACATTTTGAAATGAGAAAATGAGAGTTTTGGGTGTTTGTGACTTTACCAGCCATGCAAAGGCTTAAAGTCACAAACGTTATGGAGTAAGAGCCTCTAGGGAGTCCAGATATATGATATGAGCTAAGGTCTTAATGGGTTAAGACCAAGAAAGTGATAAAAGCCATACTGGGCGTACGCCCAGCGTAATTCCAGTACCCCTCGCGTACTGGGTTGGTGTCCCCGATCAGATTCGAGCATGCTAGTGTACGCTGAGCGTACCAGGGGAGGTACGCCCCGCGTAACCTCACTGTGAGCTTTTGGGCTGAATTTTTATAATGGGCCTTAACGGTTGGGCCTGGATCTTTGGGCTTGTGTATTAGAGACTTTGAGCAGAGAAATTTTATATTTCCTTGGGCCCTTGAGTTGGGCTTGTCACTTGGACTTGAGAGTTGGGCCTCGGGAGAGCCCATTCATTATTGGGCCTTGATGGGCCCGATGAGTTTTGGGTTATTGATGGGCTAGTTAGTGGACTACCTTTAGACCTAAAGAGTGAGGAGATAGACTTAGAACTTAATGGGGTAATTGTGGATTTTGGTCCAGTGTTAGAGGCCGGTGCAGCAGTAGCATCTTTAGGAGTTGTTCATCATCCGAGGTGAGTCTTCTCACTATACTTACCTAGTGTGGTAACCTTTGTATGACCGGAGGGTCTTATGTGCTTATATTGAGTATTGTGATATCTTGCATTATGTCTTTGTGATTTATGTTATGTATTATTCTGAGTTTACTGAGTTAGGACCGGAGGGTCCACCCGAGTTGTGGGACCGGAGGGTCCCACTGAGACACATTGACCAGAGGGTCTTATCTGAGTATAGCCATGAGAGGCTAATGAAATATGTGTGGTATTTTGGGGAACTCACTAAGCTTCGTGCTTACCGTGTTTTGTGATATGTGTTTCAGGTTCTTTCAGGATCGCGGGAAGACGCCGACTTGATTGTACACACCAGAGAAAGAGTTATGTTTTGAGGATCCTAGATTATTAATTAAATAATTATGGAATTCTGTGTGTAAATTAAATAAATGTGATTTTTGTGAAATGTGTTATGAGAATTATGTCATTTTTAAATGAAAATTTTGTTTGAAAATTTACGGTGTTACATATATGGCATTAGATATCGAAATTTGGATGTGTAGACAATTATAATATAATGAGATTATAGAACATCTCATAACACTTGGGTCTTTCTAACCCTCAGGGGGCACATATATATGTGGGTCATATGTTGCCTAGTTTCATGCAGGACTCTAGGACTATGTTTAAACCATTAACGGCGTGTTAATATCAAACATGCTGCCTTACTTAAAAATTACTTCAAAATTAGTGGATTGTTGTAGTGATATATTTTGGATTGGGTTAGTTTCTGTGTTCATCTCATACCTTGCATTATGTACATTTTTTCTCTTGCAAATTGTCTTTCTAGCATTATATTTTGAAGGATGATATGCATTCAAAATGAAGGAAACCAATGTGGTTTTCTTCTTAAAATCATATACGAGGGTGTTTGGGATTGTTTATATAACTAAATAAACATTTTTTTTATAAAAAAAATGCTTATTTGCTTATATGGTTACCAAAATTTATAAGTTAAAAAGTTTTTGGATTATTTATTTGCTTATATGGTTACAAAAAGTTATAAGTTAAAAAGTGTTTGGGTTGCTTATTTGCTTTTATGAGGTTTGCTCTATACAAAACATTAAAAGTTAGAAGTTATAAGTCAATAAGTTAGAAATTTGAACTTCTCAAAAATACCTTATTTATGGTAGTAAAACTGCTTTTCCAAATATAGTGTTTAAATAGAAAGAAATGAAAATAGAATTCTATAACAAATAAAGCAATAAACGTATCTCGGTGTTTCTTGTATTTAACCCTAAACAAAAAGGACAAGACAGACCTTAACATAGAATCATAGTGATATATGTGGCCAATGATTTTGAAACTTAATGGAATTTTGTTTAATTCCCTCCATCCCAGAACTGATTTTCAATCCTGTGTAGAATATTTGTACTTAAAAATGTGACAAGTTTTTATATTATCCATATTTTTGAAATGATAGTTGTATACTTGTATAACGATACAAAAAGTAAAAAGAGTGTGAGTCTAATCTATAATATGATTGTTATAATCTTTCTATTCTGTAATTTTCAATATAAACATCAGGGTATAGTTGTTGGTGACAAGTTATGGAATCTTGAACGTGGATCACAGTTCTATTTCGAAATATTATTTGGTTATTAACATGTTGACATATATTGATGTTGAATGTAATGTAAAGTGATTGTATATACAAAGTCCAAACTAGTTTTTATTAATCCTTGATTCTATACACAGAGGGATGACATTGGAATTGGAGGTTCCTGGTGTGAGTTTCTGGAATACCTTGTTAATTCCATAAAGTTTGGGGATGTGAAGCTTGTTTTGGAGGGAAAATCAAAATCAGATGGTAACTACTAATTACTAATTTCCTGGATCCTTTGTTTTCACTTGTTTAACTTTATTATTACATGCTTTCTGTTCGTTTATATCGTCACTTTATGAAAATCCATTAAACTTATTTGTTGCTATAAAATTTGACATTTATTTGAATATATATCATTATCGTACGTTTATATTGATTTGTTGGTAATAGCTGCCCAAATTTTCTAAACATTAGTTTCTATAAAAGGGTTGTTTTTTTAGCTTTATATCACCATTGGTCAAAGATTAGTAGGTCATTCAGGTTGCCTTTGTTAAATGGGACAAAGCTGGAAAACCTTTTTTTCAGCAATTTTTTATGATTGTTTTTTTTGTCATGACATTTCTTTTTGATCATGAAGATGATATCATTCACGTCTTTTGAACGATTTTGGATGACACAAAAAAAATTAGCTATTTTTGTCTCATTGACATTCAGTGGATGCCAAACGCAGTACAACTAATTCTGTATTGTTCTCTCTTTCTGATGATGAGGGCATTCACGCCTTTTACACACGGACAAAAAACTGTCGTTATAATTTTTGTCCCATTGATAATCAGTCATAGTCCAAGTCTAATGCATGCCACACATAATACAACAAAATTTGATGGTTGTAAAGGTGTGGAACCTCATCTTATCATATTTTAATGTGCTTTTAATTTTTAATTTTTAATTTTTTAATTTGTATGACCCAAATCTGGTAGACTAATTGCTCAAAAGTCAGAAGGAATGCCCCGAATCTCTATATCTATGCTTAAGTGTGTTGGTACTTCTGCAAATGAGACCATGGCCATGCTTTCTCTTGATCTCTACAAAGCACATCAAAGAAATCAGAAGTTGCTACTTCAAGGTGATTTTTTTTTTCAGTTCTTTGTTTATATAAAGTATTTTGTTCTTCAGAAATTTTGGTTTCACTGTTTGGTTAAATGCAAGAAATACCAATGTGCGTCATAGATTTGTTTATCATTTCTTCATATTTCAAAGTAAACTATAATGCTATAATAGAAATAATTGAAAGTAGAATGCTATAATAAATGCAAGAAAAAGCTATGTACTTTATCGATTTGTTTATTATAGCATCAACTTTATATCACTTTGAAAAATCTACCGAATGATATAATTGGGTAGATTTTTCAAAGTATAATATCTCAATAAAAAAGTTGAAAGTAAGATGTTGTAATTGAAGGAATTGAAAGTAGGATGCTATAATATGCAAATAAATGAAAGTATATCATATCCATTCTGTACATTCTATTAATTTATATTTTATAGCCATATAATCATTGTAAAGTTTTCTATTTTGTTAGCTATCATATCCACTTGGCAACAAAAAATGGTGCCTGTAATAGAAATTGTTTAAAATCATGTGCTTTTATTTTAAAGTATTTTGTGAGTTTGTGCTACGTGCAAGATGGAGATAATGAAATGTAAGTGGAGAAATGGTCTTTTATCTTGAATTATAAAAATACTGATAAAATATGGTATTTAATACAAACTCAATTTAAGGTGGTGTTTCTTTCTTTTGAGTTAATCCAATAAGCTATATATGCTTTTACTTTTCACTATACGACTTAATGTAGAAATAACAACTTAATAGAGAAAGGCAGGAAAATGACGCTTTTACAAATTTACCCTCATTTGTTTTTCCTCCCATTTTTTTAGTGTGCTGTCATTTTGTCAAGTACTTGGATGCTGTTTCTTGTTGACCTAACACTAACAGGGATGACTTAATCTGATAAGTTATATATATAATATGAATGTGTCTTTTTAACTTAATGCAAAAGATGAGGGAAATGAGACTTTCCCCATTAAGTCCTTTCTTTCTAAAAATTTACCCTCTTTTCTTTTTTTATAAAAAAATGTAAAAACTCTGTATTTTGTTTTTAGAGCAAGAGGGTCGTTGCCAGTTGACAAAGAAGCTTTCAGCTGAACAGGTAATAAATCATCTTTTTTTTTTTTTTTGATAGTATTTAATAATCATCTTAGTTTTATTTCCCAATTCACTATTTCTGTATTAAGTCATTCTTTTGGTATTTTCCATTTCCATGTGACTTAACAGGAAAAGAGTAAACATTTTCAGAAACAACTTGATGGGCTACATTATCCAAAAAGACACAAGTCTCATGACCAATTAACTTCAGATACTTTATCTGCTACCAATCCCAGTGATGTGTCAGGTGTGTGTGTGTGTGTGTGTTTTAAAGCATAAACAATTGTATTATAGTATATTATATTGATGAATATTATATGATTTATTATTTTTGTTGACAGATGTACAAATTGATCAGAATCCAAGCCCCATGAAAGCATCTAAACGTGTGGTGCCAGCTCATCGCAGGTTAGTGATGTTAGATTGCATATAAATTTTCATTATAAAGTGGTTAGTGTACTTAAAACTTAAAACTTGCAAAATCATATGTTTTTTGATACATATTAAGCAAAAATGTTTTTCATTCGCATACTTAAAACTTGCAAAATCATTTAAATTAGATCATATGTCTCCAACTTTAATTAAATTAGGAACATAAATAGCCCTTTTGGGACAAGAAAACTTTATTGCATAGGGTTAAATGCAAGAAATGTCAATACACTTTCATCTATTTGCTTAGGATAAAACCCTACTTTCATTTCTTTTTTCTATTTTTATTTTTTTTCTTTATACCTTAAAAATTCTACCAATTTTAGAAAGTTGCTTTGTATACAAAGTTGTAACAGGAAGAAATGAAGATAAGATGTTTTAATAAACAAACCAACTAACATAGGTTGTTATTTCTTGCATACAATAGCCTTATTGTATATTGACAAGTCATAAATTAACAAATGGCAGATCAAAGGTAAGAGGGGCTCTTCTACGAGATACTGATGAAGATGATTAGATCAGATCATATATAAATTAGAAATATTGGTTTATAATTTGTAAATGTTGTGTGAGGTGTTAGCTTCATTTATGTAAGTTATTTGAATGACTAAAATACAATTCTACCACCTTTTTTTTTTTTTTTTGTAATTTCTTTCAGACATGTTCATACCACCTCAAACGTCATTCTCAATTTTTGGGGCTAAGGCTGAACCCTCTTGATTTTAGCTAGAAACGATTATGTGTGTCCGACTAGGGTCTGAACACAAGTTGTAGATCGACAATGTCAATACATATCACAAATTGTTAGGGTACATCTAGCTTCCAAGGTCTTCCAAATAACCTCGATGTGAACACAATCATAATTTTTATTCAATTTCTTCCTCCCATTCGTATGAATGATGAAATCCAATGTTGTTTTTTATTTGGTTTTCAAATCTCAAAAACGGAATTTATGTTTCAAGTCAGTCTATGATTTTGTTTCATTTTGACTTTTAGTTTTTTAACCTTTGAAGTTTTGATCCTAAATCACTACCATACAGGCTATTTGGTTTTTACTTCGGCATATTTCTTTCATGTAATCGGCCATATGGTTCCAATTGCACATTGAATATCATGAATTCGAAGATTATACAAAACCAATACATCAATTTATGTCATCCTTGATAGAATTGATAATTCGTTGATGTTATTTGATCTCTAACATGATTTTATATACACAATAAATACATATCTATAAGGATAATACAAATTGTATAGTTTAAACTAATTAATAGTAATACTAGTTTAGTAGTCCCCCATAATCGAAAATGGGGGTTGATGAATGCAAAGATTGTTGCAAAAATTGTCAAAACAACCCCAGGAAGGCCTCGGGTGAAGATATTAACAATTTGATATTTAGATAGAACATGTAGAACATATAGAACCTGTACCTAGCCTTTTGCAACTTTTCCGTACAAAATAAATGTCCATTTTAGTATGTTTTGTACATTAATATTAAACTGGATTTCTATTAAATATATCACACTAACATTATCACAATAAATGATGGTAGCTCTATGTGATAGACAATGAAGCTCAAGTAAAAGATTGTGTAACCACATGCTCATATTGTTGTTGATTACTGGTTTTTCGGGTCTTCTGAAGATCGACCCAAGCCTTGGCCAACATAGCTTCTTTAGTGATGTCTCATTGTTTTAACTTCTTCCTATAAGAACTCGTTGGATGTGGGGCAAGTTCTTCCGGTGACTTGAGAGATGTTTTTGGAATTGTGTGTCGGGTTGGGTTTGTTGTCTTTATCGGAATCTTAAGGTTGATGGTAGGTTATGCTCATTGGCTCCCACTTGAATGTTGGTCTCACTAGATACATACATATACATATTTTTTGTTTTAAGATAACTATGTAGGCAAGCTGACACCCACTTAATATATTTGAAAACTTTCAGCACTCTTTTTTCCTCTCTATTCTAAGCTAATAAGCAACGTACCCTCTCTCCCTGTCTCTTTTAAAATGTGTCTATGTTTAGTATATATATTGTGTAAACTGTTTTTAGAGGCTATAAACAAAATCATTTTATGTTTAAAAAAAATTATTATATTAATTATATAATGGACCCCGGTTGACGTTTTGTCTGGCCACTGTTTTTAGAGGCTATAAACAAAATCATTTTATGTTAAAAAAAATTATTATATTAGTTATATAATGGACCATGGTTATGCTAAGGTTTTATCTGTCAAGCACAAATTGTGACGGACTTTGTGAGTAAAAAAATCATTGTAGGATTGTTGTGTCGGCGTTTGCAAGAGTTAGAAATCAATGTATTCTTGTTGTGTTTGCAACCATCACATGACCAACCTACATTTACCAAAAGAAAGAGAAAACTAAACGGAAATAACTAAATCATGAAAAGGAAGAATATAAAGCAAAACATATATTCGATTATAATTTTGATTTGGATTTTGATTTTGGAAAGTAAGTCTTGATTTTGTTTGGTTTTAGGGTTTCTTAGAAGAAGATATAGAAAAATTAAGTGAACAGGAACAAATTAATCATTTTCATAAATCTAAGAGTTGAGATGTTAACTTAGACACCTTGGTACTATAAAAGTTATAAAATAGTAAAATAGGGACCAAAATATAAAGGTAGGAGAGTTTATAGGAACTAATTTACACACATTTGACTACATATTTACAATGTGCTAATAATGAATATACAGATTTATGTTTACGTTGAATGAGTAGGACTGGTAGACCCGGTATCCTTAATACGCCCCCGCAAGATGAAGGATCCATCGGAGACTCCAATCTTGGATCGGTTTTTGAGAAATGGAGCTCGGGACAGTGGTTTAGTCAGCATGTCAGCAAGTTGATCGTGAGAGTTGATGTGAAGAACACGAAGAAGGCCACCAGAAACTTGTTCCCGAACAAAATGGTAGTCAAGTGCAACATGCTTCATTCGCGAGTGGTACACTGGATTCGCACAAACATATGTTGCACCGGTGTTGTCACAAAATAATGTAGGTGTCTCAGTGATGGAAATGCCAAGTTCCTGCAAAAGATTCTTTAACCAAATGGGTTCAGCAGATGCATTTGCCAAAGCTTTGTATTCCGCCTCTGTAGATGAACGAGAGACATATTTTTGTCGGGTGGATCTCCATGATACAATATTGGAACCCAGGTAAAGTATATAGGCTGTTGTGGACCTGCCCGCATCGTTCACTCCACCCCAATCGGAGTCAGAAAAGGCTGAAATTGTAAGTGGGGAGTTACGGTTAAAAAAGAGACCATAGTGAATGGTACCTTTTAAGTATCGAAGTAAACGTTTTAGAGCTTGCCAATGAGATTGACGAGGAGTATGCATAAACTGAGAGAGTTTATTGATGGCAAAGGATATATCAGGACGAGTGAAGGCTATGTATTGAAGTGAGCCAACCAGTTTGCGATAGGGTGTAGCATCAACTGTGGGAGTAGAATCAATGGTTGTTAATGGTTCAGAAGTGCTAAGAGGTGTGGTTACTTCTTTTGCACCCTCCATATGAAATTGATTAAGAACATCTTGGATGTGACGATGTTGTGATAGGAAGAGACCGGAGGGAGTTTGAATAACCTCAACGCCTAGGAAATGATGGAGCATACCCAGATCTTTTAAAGAGAACTTTGTACTCAAGGCATTTATGAAGTAGGCAAGAAATTTGGCATCACTACCTGTAAGAACAATGCCATCTACATAGACTAGAAAGTAACACGTAATGTTCTGTTTCTTGTAAATAAACAGAGATGCATCAGCTAAGGATTTGACAAAACCAAAGTGTAAGAGAAAAGTTGTGAGCTCATTATACCAGGCTCGGGGAGCTTGTTTTAGACCATAGATCGATTTCTTGAGCTTGCAAATATGGTTTGGAAACTGAGGGTGAACATACCCAGAAGGTTGAGTCATAAAGACTTCTTCATGAAGAGTACCTTGGAGAAAAGCATTGTTAACGTCTAGTTGACGGAGTGGCCAATTATTGGATAGAGCAATAGAAAGAATGGTACGAATTGTGACTGGTTTGGTTACCGGACTGAAGGTATCAAAGTAATCCTTGCCATATTGTTGCAAGAAACCTTTTGCAACTAAACGTGCTTTATATTTCTCAATAGACTCATCAGGTTTACGTTTGATGCGAAACACCCACTTACAACCAATGGGAGTGTGAGAGGTCTTAGGAACAAGTTCCCAAGTGTGGTTTTGGAGAAGGGCATTGAACTCATCATCCATGGCATGTCTCCATTTTGGGTCTTTTAGAACTTGGTGATGAATAGACGGTTCAAGGGTAGATGGGATGGGGTGTAGTGTGGTGGAGTTTATGAGGTTGGGGTTATAGTATTTGGAATTAGGCTTGCAGATTCGGTGAGGACGAGAGGTATTTGAAGGTGGTGAGGGAGGTATTTAGGGAGAGGCTGGAGGTGAGTGAACTATTTGAGGAGAGGCTGGAGGTGTGGGAACTATGTGGGGAGATGCTGGGGGGAAGGAGAAGCAGGTTCATCATTATGAGAAGAGAAATATGGTGATGTATCTGAAGTGGTAGAAGGAACAGGAGAAGTTGTGGGTATAATGGGTGACAATGTAGGAGTAGAGGAAGTAGGAAGAGTAGGTGATGGTGGGTTGATGTTTGATGAAGAAAAGGTGGAGATGAAGTCATTAGTGGTGGGAAGACAGAGAGAATGAGTGGTGGTGTCTAAGGAAGGAAAAATGTGTTCAACAAATTCAACATGTCGGGAATGATAGAGGCGATTTGTGAGTGGATCATAGCATTTATAGGCAGATTTTGAAGATGAGTAACCAAGGAAAATGCATATGGTAGATCGTAGGTGAAGTTTGGTAGAAGCATATGGTCTTAACCAAGGAAAGCACAGGCAACCAAATGGCTGTAATTTAGTGTAAGTTGGAGGGGTTTGGTTGAGTTTTTGATATGGTGTTTTTAAGGCAAGAACAGTGTGTTGGTAAGCGGTTGATAAGATGCACGGCTGTTTGAAAAGCATGGGACCAGAAGGTAAGGGGAAGTTTGGCATGGTGAAGGAGAGAAAGTCATGTTTCCACAATGTGGCAATGGCGTCGTTCTGCCACACCGTTCTGTTCTGGGGTATGAGGAGGTGTGGTGAAGTGAGATATGCCCTATTCTTGGAGGTAGGCTGTGAGAGCTATCTACTCGCCACCAGTATATGTGAAAAGTGAGACAAGGGAGGTGTTGTAATACTTTTCAGTTAAGGTTTTAAATTGAGGGAAGAGTATAGAAACATCTAATTTCTTTTTCATTGGGTATAACCATGTATATTTGGAATAAAAATCAACAAAGATAACATAGTATGCATAGCCATCATTTGACTTTTGGACTGGACCCCATACATCAGAATAGATAAGCTCAAGTGGTTTAGATGCAGTGAACGAATTAACACCAAAGGATAATCGATGACTTTTATTAATAGAACAAGAATCACAATGAAAAGAAACATCAGACACTTTATTCGACTCTAAATTTAATTTTTTGAGAAGCAACTTGAGAACTTTGATTGAGGGATGGCCCAGCTTGTGATGCTAAGA